GCCCCATATTGGCAGTGTCAGCCTAGGTCCCAGTTTCTTCATCTGAAGAAACAACCCCCCATGGGTGATGCTCGAGCTATGCAGGTGTAGGGGAGGCAGGGCGTGGGGCTCCTCTGGGCCGGTCATCACCACAGCCCAATGCTGCACCTGTGTGACTTCACTTCAGGTACCTTCCAGCAAGTCACGAACCTCCTGAACATCATGGACAGCGAGTCAGCAAAGACTGACATGGCAGGGGCAGGTCTCGACATGCGGAAGACCTTGGCCTCAGTGATAATCACAGAGAAGGCCGCCGTCGAGCCTTCTGTGGTGATGGATGCCCTCATCCGCTGCCTGCAGGTGCCGGAGGTAGGCCCTTACCCTAGCGCCTGTCTCTGAGCTCAGCCTCCTTGGGCTGTTGTATGTCCATCTGTTGTTCTCATGTTTTGTGATGGTCGCAGACACAGCGAGGGTGGCTGGGATCCAGAGATGGGCAAGATTTGAGGACCCATTGGGGCCTAGGGTTTCTGAGATGCTCAAAGCTCCCTTGTATTTGGACACAGTGGGCTTGGAAACCACCAGCCTAGGGCACACGAGCTACGTTGCAAAGATGTTGAGCAGAAGCTAACCAGGTGGTCTGGGAAGGCCCTGGCTGCCCAGACCCAGGGCTCATGGCTGTTGTACCAGAGGCGAGACTAAGGTGGGGCAGAGACGGAGGTAGGGGGTGCAGAAGGGAATAATGGAGAGTGTTACTGAGAGCATGGGGGCTGGCACTACGTGGTTCGGACCTGAACAAACACATCCCCTGAGGGCTTGTCCAAGTGCTGATGGCTGGGCCCACCCGGGGGGTTTCTGATTAGGTAGGTGTGGGTTGGAGCCGAGAATCAGCATTTCTTTCTTTCTTTTTTGTTTTAAGAGGGTTCTGCCTTAGAGCACATGTACTCACAGGAGGGGGGCGGGGGAGAAGAGAGACAGACAGAAACAGTGAGAGGGAAAATGAGAAATAAGCCCCCAGGGGGGATGGCCACACCACAATCCCTTTTCCTCCATGCTTTTCCCAGGCCACACACACACACACACACACACACACACACACACACCTGGGGTGATTCTCAAGCCACCTGGTCTGGGACTCGAACTGAGGTTGGCCATGTAACCACTACGCCATCTGCTGGCTCTAAGAATCAGCATTTCTAACAAGTTCTCAGGAGATGCAGGTCTGGGACTGCTCTTGGAGGCCTACTGGATTTTAGGTTCCCCTGTAGTGTTGGGGGTGGGCACAAAGGTGGGCTGTAAGCAGAGCAGAATACCTACCAAAAAGCTTTACTTTGTAGAAAATTATGTCTGGCAGCCGTGAGGAAGGGGTGCTGGAATCAGGGAGCACAGGCAAGCGGTTTTCAGGGTGGGCTGTTTTAAAGTGTACGTGTCGTTATTATTCAGGTGTGGCAGGGCTGACAGCCCAGGAGACATCTGCCCTTGGAAAGATAGTTTGTAACTCATGGTTCCCGAGAGGGAGGGTCTCACCACCTCATGCAGGCCCCGCAGGGAAGTGCCAGGGTCCGGGGTGGGCAGAGGAAGAAGGCACGTCTGGATAACAGCCTTCATTGCAGTTTCTCTGGGGAGGAGCCGGCGAGCTAGGGTGAGAGGCTCAGGATTGATGGATGGAGCGTTTCTGCAGGCTCTGGGGCATAGCAGCTGTCCCCAGTTGTCGGGTGCCTGGCCCTGGGTGACTTGGGCAGTGGACAGTGGCCCAGGGTCGAGAGCTAGATGAAGGAAGTGGGTGGTGAGGGCTCTGGAATGGACGGTACGTCAGCCTGCTTGGCTGCCATAGGGAGTACCACAGACAAGGTGATTTAAGCACCAGCAATTATTTTTCTATGGTTCTGGGAGGTGGAAGTCCATGATCAAGATGCCAACAAATTTGGTTTCTGCCAAGGGTGCTCTCTGTGGCTTGTAGATGACTGCCCTGTCACTCTGTCCTTGCATGGCTTTTCTTTGTGCACTCACACACAGAGAGAAAGATCTCAAGTTCTCCCATGTCCCCTCCTTTTATAAGGACACCAATCAATCATATTAGGGCCCTGCTTGGTGACATCATTTAACCCATCTCCTCTCAAAGGCCCCATCTCCAAATACTTTCCCACTGGGGCGAGGCCTTCGGTACATGAATTGTGAGGGAACATGACTCCGTCTATAAAAGTTGTTTTGTGTTTATTTCCCCCTCTTATTTTCTTCTTCACCTTCTTCCTTCTCCTCGTTCTTCTTCTTCTTCCTCCTCCTCCTCCTCTCCCCTTCTTCCTCCTCCTCGTTCTTGTTCTTGTTCTTCTTCCTCCTCCTCCTCCTCTTCTTCTTCTCTTCCTCCCCCTCCTTCTCTTTCTCTTCTTCTTCAGTTCGTAATAGGGTGTATGTGCTTGCCAGAGAGTAATAGAGAAGAAAGTGAGAGAGCACCCCCAGGGCATGGCTATGCTGCAATTCCTTCTCCTCCATTCTCCTCTTGGGATTCTGGGCACATACACATATGTGCCTAGTTTGTTTTTCAAGCTGCTAGATCCAGGATTCGAACCACATAGTGGGCCATGTGGGATCCAACCGCCTAACCACCACACCATGTGCTGGTTCAGTTGTTTTGTATTTAAAAGGCACAATTGTGGGCAACTAGGATTTGGCTAGCTCTGGGAGGGACAGGCCCTCCAAAATCACCAAAGCCCCAGGTAGACACAAAATGCAAAAGATTAACATGATTAATACACAGGCCTTAATTAATGGCAACAAACACACAATAAGCAAGCAGGCATCTTTTAACATGCACCAAAGATTTTTACTCTTTAATTGGTGAAGGAAGCAGTAAGATGTTCAAATGAGAACTTTGCCTATAGAGATTTATGTTTCTTGCCAGACAAAATCCGTTTGCCTTGCCATAAACAGGAATCATTTTCATAGCTATGGAGGAAACATTTGTTTTGTTTTTCATTCTCTACAACTCGGCTTCTTTCTGCACAGATCTGTAAAGTAGCTTAGGTGGATCAAAGTCAGTGGAAGAGGCACACCCCTGCCTCCAGTAATCCCAGAGCAGCTGCCACTCGGCCCCACATGCTCCTCTGGAAGGCTACCCCATGGTCATTCTTGCCAGCTCCCATGTCTTTCACAGTTTTTCTCTTGTGACCGTAAATATTCTCTGAAGCTTATTCTTGTTCACCAAATTCTGGTCTTAATTATAATTTGCCTGGCTATTTGCAGAGGGTACAGCAAGAGTGTTAATTAAGCATATAGGCCTCCTTGAGTTTGCTTTGCAAACTGATAGCAATCATTCTCAAGTGGGTGATGCTGCCCCCAACTAACTAAAACTGGTTCTTGGGGATGAAGAAAATCTTCCTTTTTTTAGAGAGAGAGATTTTTGCTATAGGGTGCATGCGCTTGCCAGAAAGAGAGAGACAGAAAGTGAGAAATCACCGGCCTTTTTCATTCTCCTCTTAGGAGTTTGGGCATGTGCACACACATGTGCCCAGTGTGAGTTTTCAACCACTGGGACCAGGACTTGAACCACAGTTGACTATGTGGGAGTCCAGTGACATAACCATTATACCATCTGTTGGTCCTGAAAATTTTACTTTTTTGGGAGTGTGTGCACTCACCAGAAAGACAGAGAGAGATAGAGAGACAGAAAGCAAGAAATCAACCCCCCCCTCAGGGGAGATAGCCATGCTGCAATCCCTTCTCCTCCATTCTCCTCTTAGGATCTTGGGCTCAAATGCACGTGTGTCTGGAGTGAGTTTAAGCTACCGGGTCCAGAACTCAAACAACAGTTGACTACATGGGAGTCCAGGGACATAGCTATTAGGCCAACTGCTGGTCCCGAAATTTCTACTTTTTAATACATGAAACCAGATATATTTACAGCACATAAACAGAGATATAGTATATCTGTGGTATCGCAGTTTTGCCAAGGGAGTGATTAGGACAAAATACCTGGAAAAGCTCTTCAGGGTGGTAACAGTAAGAATAGCGAAGGGTGAGAACCGCAGGTCCAGAGCCCTGCAGTACGAGCAGCCACGAAGGCCACGCCAGGAGTGTCTGTCCCGGAGTTATCATAAGGGATTTCGGGCTGGAGTTTACAATATTATTATTTGCTATCCCTAGACTGGAAAACCAAGGCCGGGACTCTCCATACCGGATCTCACTAGTAGAATTCGTAAATATGGGCAAATTCTTGTGTTCTTGAGGTCCCTAACTTTGCTGAGGTTTCCTGAGTGTTGGAAGTGAGCTTCCCACCAGCTGGGGTAGCAGGAGATTGTCCCAATGAACCTGAAGGCACCTATAGGCCCTCACTCTCTGAGTCATGCCTGATTGCTGGGGAGAAGTTCTCAGATGGGACTGTCCAGGCTCGGGGGCAGTTCGTCTGTGTGTCCGTCCTAAACATGGCCGACTTACATGGTGCTAGTGCCAACCTAGTGGGAACCGAAGGAGTAAAGACAAGTGTCCCGGTCTCCGTGCTCCCTTGTGAGGGCAAATGGCAGGGTGACCTGACTTCCTGTCCAGAGAGCCAGTGCCCAGGGCATGGGGCCTGTGCACTGACCACTTGACACCTGTGTTGCTGAATGTTGACTGAGAACAGGCAGGAGAGTACCACCCTGTAAGTCTCAGTGACAGGCCGGGTTGGGTGGGGGTGTTGGGATCTGAGACTCAGTTAGCTGGAGAATAGTGGTCGCCTTCTCCAGGCAGGGTGCAGAGGAGGTGGGTTGTGGTGCTGGGGCAGGGCTGGCTCTGGGGATCCTCCACCTCAATTTCCTCCCCCAGATCCCCACCCAGCGCAAGGTCAACATCTACAACACCCTGCAAGAGATCATCCAGCAGGAGGGGGAGCTGGAGGAGCGCTGCGTGCGGAGGCTGGTCACCATCGCCTCCAGGGAAATGCGGGAGTCCCCAGAGGTATTAGGGGCAGGGGTGGGGCCTGCTGGGGTGCCCAGAGCTCTTGTTCAGTTACCTCTTGGGGCCAGGGCAGGCAGAGCCCAAAGGAGCCAAGAGGGGTGGTGAGGGCGCAGGGCAGGGGCTGATGAAGGCCCGGCTGGTGGTGGTGCTCCCTCAGCAGATGGAGGGCTACGTGAAGGCAGAGGTGGCCAGCGACACCCTGGTGGCTCTGTCCCGAAACCACTTCAGCCTGGTCATGTACGAGCTGCAGCACCGCCTGAAGCCCCTCAGCCTCACCGACGAGTTTGTCATCCTCACCCTGGCCAAGCTGGCCAACGGCAATGGTAGGGGCCCTCGGGCCGACCCAGTGCCCCTCCTAGTCTGGGCTTCGCTCGGTCTCTACTTCCCTCTGTAATTTGGGCCTCTCTCCACCTCTCCTCTCTGTGTCTCTGTCTCCGTCTCTGCCCCTCCTCTTCCATTTCTCTTGTTGCTTTCTCTGGCATTCCTTCTTTCCATCTCTGTTTCGCCTCTCACTTCTCTCTGCTCCCCTCCTCCCCCCGCCCCCTACCATCTCCCTGCTCTCTCCTTTCTCCTCTCCCTGCAGAGATCTCTGTCTTTCCTGGCTCTCTCTCCTTCCATCCCACCCGCATGTACTGAGCTCCCACTCCATGCCGGCTTGTGGTGGGAACTGAGCCTGTTGGGGGGCCACCAGCCAGAGACCAGGAAAGCACATTTGTGAGGTGCTGCGACAGGAGTGCAGAGGACAGCCAGGTGGGACGAGGGAGGGGACCTCATTGCCGCAGGGCCTTGGCGAGGGGCCGAGACTTCAGCTGAGCCCTGAGGATGAGAGGAGGACCTCTGTGGGAGGCACAGGACGGGGGAATGTTCTAGAAGAGAACGGCTAAGGGCCTGAGGCAGGAAAGAGCCGAGCTTCTCTGGAGAACTGGGAGGTGTTGTGCTGCAGTTCGAGAGCAGAGGTGAGGGGAGATGGGGCAGGGAGTTAGGAGGACCAGGCGGCCCCGGGGAGGTCTGGACTTCATGTGAGGGCACTGGGAAGTGGCTGGAGGGTTTTAGCAGTGAGGTTGCCTGATGAAATGTAGGTTCCGGAAAGACCGTCCCGGCCGTCGTGTGGATGGGGCGGGGTAAATGTGAGGTGATGGTGTTTGGGCTGGGGGTGACGAGCGTGTACGGACGTGGGGGCTGCAGTCAGTGGACTTGCTGCAGAACTGGGTGTGGGAGACGAAGGGACAGAGGAGCCCCAACTGTGTAGACAGGAAACGGCGGCGCAGAGTCAGGGCTTGAACCCAGAACCCAGCCTGTATGTGCCCTCCTGCGCCTGGTAGTGCCCATGCCGACAGGTCATAGGCCAGCTGGTTGGTGGGTCCGGGGTCCAGGGGGCAGGTCTGGGCATAGCCTCAGGATTAGGTGGAGTTCAAAGCTGTGGACTCCCAGGGGTGAAAACAGACAGAGGGGAGCAGGTGGCATGGGCTCAGCCTGGAGCAGTCCTGGGCTCAGCCCTTTGGAGGGCTTGTAGGAGACTCAGGAGAAGAGGAGGGCAATGTGGTCTCAGCGGGCCACGGGGGAGAGTGATTCAGAAGGGACCGAGGCACTGGCTGTCCAGCAGACAAGGCTGGAGGAGGTGGAAGGTAGGCGCCCATGGAGGCCTGGCTGGGAGGAGGGGGTCACAGGTTGTGGGAGGGGAAGAATCTGGACCCGGGCAGATGCTGTCCAAAGACCCGGCAGAGGAGGTGTGTTGGTGGGGCTGGAGGGAGGGGCCCTGAAGGAAAGTGAATGTGGGTTATTATTTTACTATTATATATAATTACATGTATTATTACATGTATAAAATTATTGCATGTATAATTTTATTATTACACAGTCTGAAGAAGGGGCGGTACTCTCAGTTTGAGCAGAGGGGCTGGACTCAGAGGGGAGGGTGGGTCTGTCACTGGTTTCTCTTTCTTCCACCTTTCTACAATTTCTTTCTTTTGTTTTTTGAAAAGTTTATCTATTTATTTCTTCCATGAGAGAAAGAGCCAGAGAGGACCGATCCCATAGCATGGTGTTTGAGGGAGTCAGATCCCACGTGGCTGACCATGAGTCGAATCCCTGGCTTGAACAACACGCTGGGGATGTGTGTGTGCTCAAACTCCTGACGGGGTGGAGAGATGGAGAAGGGGCTGTGACCACACCCCAGTGGGGGTGCTTTCTCCCTCTTTCTCTGGCATGCTCGTGCACCCTCTGGCAACTGAAAAAAGAGAGACGGGCATCCTCCACAGGGCCTCAGCCCACAACCTAGCCCGCTCTCAGTCGGTGGACCACAGGCACACATGCATGTACCTGGCATGTCAGGGCTGTCCTGGGATGCGAACCCAGGACTTGCCCAGTGGGCCCAGCGGCGTCACCACTGCACCACTGCCTGGCCCATCCCTGTGACCCCTCTCTGCTATCTTTCCCTCTCCTACCTCTTACCTTCTTGTCTCTTGCTCATTGGCTGCCTCTTTTCTCATCATGCCAGGACCTCTGTGGACCCCCAAGGAAGGGCCGGCTGCGTGAGCTCATGCTGAGGCCTCTTCTCTCTTCCACTTCTGCCTCCCCTCCTCCAGGGCCCTCGCGTTCTCTCCCTAAGCCTCTCTGTCCTCTTCCTCCCTCTGGCCCTCCTCCTCGTTTTCCTGCACTCCACTTCTCCTCGCCCCCTTCCAGCTCACTTTTTAATGCTTTACTGACTCCCACACTATGTCCCATGGCCCCTGCCAGGGAAGAGGTGGTGGGTGCAGGGCTGTCCTCTCTGCCTCCCCTGCTCACCTCTGGCCCTCACAGCCCGCGATCTCGTCCTCACCCGCAGTGTTTGAGTTCATGCCATACATGGGCATCACCCTGGCCACCATATTCACGATGCTGAGACTCGCCAATGAGGCCAAGATGCGCCAGGTGATCTGTGGTGGTGCGTGTCCCACCTGGGCTTGCAGGTTTGGCCTGATCAGGGTGCCGGTGGGGGGGGATGGGGTAGGCAGTAGGTGGGGGTGTTGAGCAAGAGGTGCGTTGTTCATTGGTTCCCAAACATTTGCTCAGTCTCCGACTGCGTGGTCTCTGATCGGCTATGTGGTCAGCGGCTTCCAGGAGATCAGAGTGTGGGGGGAGAGCTGTCCCTGCACTCCATTTGCTTGTTCTGTGCTTCAGCATTTCAGGAGACCCAGAAGGGTGGAGGGCAACGGCGCGGAGAATGCCTCGGTTTTGAGCTTGACTTGGGCAGGTCTTTGATGCTATTTCAATCTGATCTCCTTGCCCTGGGGTTTGATCACTTAATGTTTTTGTGGACCAAAAAACGCTAATGCCTGAGGAAAAAGGCCACAACGTGTGTGCTGCCTTCTGCACTGGAGGCCTCAGGGTGTGAGCAGAGAGTCGCCCTTCAGGCCCCATGTCTTTGAAGAGGGTGGGCCCAGACACCTGTGTGCTCAACTCACACACACGCGGGGGAAAATCAGGAAGGGGTGAGGGCTTGGATGGGCTTAGAGGCGGGCTGGGCTGCCTGCTCCGTATGGAGACGTGTGAGCCCTCTGCCCTGCTCCCGGCCCTCTGCACGGCCACATCCCCTCGCATAGCCATGGAGACCTTCTGTGAGACGGTGCAGTTCTACCTGAAGCACTTGGAGGACAGCGTGTACCCCGTGATGACCGAGGAGCAGTTTGCTCTGAAGCTGTTCCCGATGTATCGCTACTTTGTGACCGTGTGGCTGCGGCACCCTAACCCAGAGGTGGGCCCTGACTTGGGAGGTCACAGCTCCCAGCCGTGGTAAAGCTGCCCCTGCCCCTGGAGTGGTCTGGTGTGGGCCAGTGTTCCTGAGAGCTCCGCGCTCTCTGTAGCATCTCGCACAGGGGAGCTATTTCCACACAAGCTCTGAGATGTAGGACTATCTTACAAATGAGGACACTGAGGCAGCAGAGAGGTGAAGTGCCTGCCCAAGGTCACCTGGCTTGTTGGGGGGACTCAAGGCCAGCAGACTGGCCACACCACACTGCCTCTGCAGGACGAGGCCTCTGCTGAACTCCGTGCTCCCTCCTGCCATGTGTCCTTGGGCTGCGCGGATGGGGCTGAGGTCACTGGCCTTGCTGGGGCTCCTGGAACAGTAGTGCAAGGCCCTGTTTCCTGGGGCAGGTGAAGCTGGGGGTCATCAAGTCCCTGAAGCCCATGCTGAACCTCCTCCTGCCCAACAATGAGCTGCGGGAACAGGTCTACGACTACATCCCCCTGCTGCTGGCCGAGTACCAGGGCAGCCTGGAAGCCCTCTTCATCACCCAGGTGAGTGCCAGGTGGCCACGGCCCTGGGCAGGATGCTCTGGAGGGTGGGGTGTTCAGGTGTCAGGGTGTCATCCGGGTGGAAGGTGGAGGTGCCAGGTACTTTGACGTCACGGACCCAACATCTAGGCCCTGTGAGGGACTGTGGGAAATGACGATGCCCTTCCAGAAGGGCCAGGCCAGACCGTGAGAGGCTGAGGCCATGCTGAAGTGGGGGCATTTGCGTTCAGGGTCGCTGCAACACAGGCCACAAAGTTGGTGACTTAGGAACCAGCAGTTAGCGTAATGGCTATGTTGCTGGACTCCCATGTAGTCGACTGCAGTTCACATCCCAAACCCGGTGGCTTAAAACTCACGCCGGGCGCGTGTGCATGCATGTCCAAGATCCCGAGAGGAGAACAGAGGAGAAGGGATTGCGGCATGGCCATCCCCCCTGGGGGATGATTTCTCACTTTCTGTCTCTCTCTCTGTCTGTCTGGCGAGCACATGTGCCCTATAGCAAAAAATCCTCTCCAAAATAAAAAAAAGTTGGTGACTTAAATGACAGAAACATGTCCTATCGTTCTCTGGAGGTCCAAAGCCAAACATCAAGGAACCGATAGGGCCGTGCTTTCTCTGAAGGGTCTAGGGAAGAGTCTGCCTTGCCTCTTCTAGGGTTCGGTGGCTCCAGTGGCCCTTCCATTGTGGCGGCATCACTCCAAACTCTCCCTCCATCTCCCTGGGCCTTTTCCCTCTGTGCGACCTCTTACGGTCCCACAAAGACGCTGTGTTTGGATCTAAGTCCACCCTGCATCTAAGATGATCCCACCTCACGACCCATACCTAATCACGTCTGCACAGACTATTGCCAAATCGGGCCACAGTCTGAGGTCTCAGGTAGACATGAATTTTTGGAGGGCCCCTGTCAACTCGCCATGGCCCCTGAGCCGTGGGCCGATGCACCCCGTGAAGGGATCGCTCCTCTATAGGCAGAGTGTGGTCTTTAGCTCAAAGGCAAGGCGTAGAAATGAGTGGGACTGATTAGGAGCCATCGTATGTCATTGTGGCTGAAGAACAGCGCTTACCTCCAGGTGAGTTACGGACATTGTGTCACAGGTGAGAAGGCTCTGGGTCTCTGGATGGCACACGCGGTGGCCTGAGGCAGCTCCTCTCAAGCTTTACTGTGCAGGGGACTCGCCTGCGGGACGAGCTGAAGGCAGCAGATTCCGCAACTCTCGGGGAGGCGGATTGAGTCTGCATCCAGCCCCTCCAGGGGTGCCAATACCACCGGAGTCACTGCAGCAGAGCAGCAGGGATCGTCTGACTCTGAGTTGGCAGCAGCCCATCTGCCACCACTTGTCCCTCCACTGCAGGTCTTGAGGCAGATCCTGGAAGTGTCAGTCACCACTAGCACCCCGGTCCCCCAAATGCAGCTCCATACCATCTTCACGGAACTGCACGTCCAGGTGAGGCTGGCCAGCTAGGGGCAGGCATTCTCGGGGTGTGTTAGCAGGAAGGCTGCAGGAGGTGGCCTGGCCTCTGACTCACAGGTGTGCTCCTGTCTTCCCAGGTGTGCACCAAGGCCCCGGCCCAGCACCAGTACAGCAGCCAGAATCTGATAGAGATCGTGCACTGCTTCGTAGCCCTCGGTGAGGCTCCACCCTGCACCCCCTGTCTGCCCAGGGCTGCCGGAGCCTATGGGAGTCCATGCTCTGGAGCACTGAGCCTGCTGGGCGTGGCTAAAGCAGACCTTCCACCCTGCAGCTCGCTGCTATCCTAAGGAGCTGATGAAGTTCTTCTTCAGCCAGATGGAGATGAGCAAGGAGGCCATCCGCGTGGGGACCCTGACCCTGATTAGGGCAGTGGTGAGCGCCGACGGTAAGCCTTGCGGACACAGAGCAGCGGGTCAGAGTTAGGGAAGGCCTTCCACTCCATGTCTGGGCCACCACTTTCTCTTCTTTAGGGACACTGGATGGGCCAAGGGAGGCCTGAATCCAAGGCTCTACCTGAGTCTGAATTTCAAACTCTCTTTTTTTTTTTTTTTTTAAGAGAGGTTTTTTCTATAGCGCATGTGCGTGTGCCAGAAAGACAGAGAGACAGAAGGTGAGAAATTACCCTCCAGGGAAAATGGCCACGCTGTAAACCCTTCTCCTCCGTTCTCCTCTCGGGATCTTGGGAATCCACGCACATGCACCCCGTGTGAGTTTAAGCCACTGGGTCTGGGACTCGAACCATGGTTGATTGCATGGGAGGCCAGCAACATAGCCATTACACCAACTGCTGGTCCTATGAATTTCAAACTCCTTTTTTTTTTTTTTTTTAAGAGAGGTTTTTTCTATAGCGCATGTGCGTGTGCCAGAAAGACAGAGAGACAGAAGGTGAGAAATTACCCTCCAGGGAAAATGGCCACGCTGTAAACCCTTCTCCTCCATTCTCCTCTTGGGATCTTGGGCTCACATGCACACGTGCCCAGCGTGAGTTCAAGCCACCAGGTCTGGGACTCAAATCGCGGTTGACTACATGGGAGTCCAGTGACATAGCCATTATACCAACTGCTGGTCCCCTTGAATTTCAAACTCTTAATCTGAATCCTATAGCTATCCTTCCCAGATAAATTGAAGGCTGTTTACGATGACTAATGGTACCAGGTAGCATAACCCTAATGCCCCATGGACTCAATGCCCAACCTCAGTCCAAAGCCCTGATTCTAATCCCTAAGCCCAAACTCTACAGCTGGCCAGATGTCAAAGGGAACCAGAGTCTCTAACCAGTAGCTTGTACTGCATCTTCCTGGGAATTTGACAAGGTGTCCCTGGCTGGCATCCTGCAGCCCTGTGGGAGCATAATGGTGAGAAGAGTGGGGACCAGCACATGGCATAGTGGTTATGTCGCTGGACTCCCTCAGAGTAGACCGCAGTTCGAGTCCTGGACCTGGTGGCTTAAAACTCATGCTGGGTATGTGTGTGTGCATGCCCAAAATCCCAAGAGGAGAATGAAGGAGAAGGGACTGTGGTATAGCTATCCCCCCTGGGGAGTGATTTCTCACTTTCCGTTTCTCTGTCCCCATCTCTTTGGCCAGCGCATGTGCCCTATAGCAAAAATCTCTCAAAAACAACAAAAAGCAGAGTGTGGACAGCTACTCCACAGCCCTAAAGCCAGGGGCCTGGGTGCAGGGCAAAAATCGGACAACTGCACATGCAGGATCTTCCTCTGGCACTAACCTCTCTTAAAGAAATGCAAATGTGACTAGGAGATGAGTTTCGCGTAGCTGATGAATGGAGGTAATAATATGGGGGGGGGCTTCAAAAAGTTCGTGGAAATGGAATTACTGTGTGAGTTTATTTTGGTGCAAAATACTTGAAAGCCGTGTGTCACACGCAGTTTCCAGGGACTTTTGAACCTTGCGAATCTGCGTGATGGAACATTAGAAACCACTGCGAAGGGTACAGTCGACCTCCACTCATGGAGAAGCTGCCTCTCTGTAAAGTGTAGCCCTACTGTGTGTGGCAGTAGCTGGCGCATGAGCTCAGGTACATGAAAGAAAGCTGTCGGATTATGCACACATATCCCATGAAGGGCGGTTACCTTTGATTTTAATTTTGTGATGAACAGGTACTGTTTTTATTTTCAGGGATAGTATTTCCATCTTTGAGATAAAAACTCTAAATTGTACCACTCCCCCTAGCGCCTGCTCGCCTGCCTCTCCACCTGTCCTCCCTTTGTTTTTCCTGTCCCAGTGCTGACGAGGTGGCACCTGGTCTCGTCGCAGCCTCAGCCTGAAACCTGTCTCCCTCGTGCACCGCGCACCCAGCCATCCAGGAGCTCCCGCTCTCCCCGCCTTCGTTGGCTGTGCTGCCCTCAGCTGTGTGACCAGCAAATGCTCTCCCAGCTGGCGGTGTGCCGTTCTCGGTGCCACACACTGCTCCTGGCAGCTCCATGAGCGAGGCACTGCTGGCCTCCTTTTTTTGTTTTTTGAAGGTTTTTGCTATAGGGCGCGTGCACTCGCCAGACAGACAGAGAGAGACAGAGAGACGGAAAGCGAGAAATCACCCCCCAGGGGGGATGGTCACGCCGCAATCCCTTCTCCTCCATTCTCCTCTCGGGATCTTGGACACACACGCACACACGCCCTGCGTGAGTTTTAAGCCACCGGGTCTGGGACGCGAACCGTGGTCGACTACATGGGAGTCCAGCGACATAGCCATTACACTAACTGCTGGTCCCAAGCCTTCTTTTTTTTTTTTTTTTAAATACATATATATATTTTATTTTATGTTCTTTTATACATTCGATCATGTTATTTAGCTTACAAAGTGAATGTTCCAACATGTGTACATTTCTGCCTAGTCCAGCTGATAATACTATACAATTATCTTCAAAAGATAATATCACTTTTGTCCCATTAATGCTTTGCCTCTCTATTTTTCTTCTAAATATCCTTTGGCACAGAGGGGCTCAGTGATTCACCTGAGGTTGTACAACTGGGATGTGGCAGACCCAGGGTTTGAACCAGGCCACCTGGCTCCAGGGCCAAAGCTCTTCTAGGTGTGATTCACAGCGTCTGTGTGCCCACTACATGTCACAGTGCGGGCTTCCAGCTGCAGGACACTATGGAGCTCTTGAGTGAGACCCCATGCCACCATATTCAGTGAGGCACATGCCAAGCACTGGCCGAGGGAAGGGTGTTAAAGCAAGGCCCTCGTGCTGCTGCCGGAGCTGAGGGAGAGGCAGGCAGCCAGGTGAGGGGGACTTCTAGGCAAGGGCCCCTGAGTGCATGCAGTGCTGGAGGGGTAAGAGTGACAGAGAGGAGCCCGGTGGCCTCTCCCTAAGCCACAGCCCTCCAGGCCGCTTTCCTCTTTCAGAGCCCAAAATGAACATCAGGACCATCTACCTGGCCATCCGGGTGGTCAAGAACACGCTCTCCGACAACCGCTCCAAGGTAACGGCAGAGAGCTGGAAAGGGCAGGTGCTCAGGGGACCCCGCTGGGGAAGCACAGCAAGATCCCGGCAGGTGGCCTTGGCTGACCCCCTGCTCTGGGGGCAGGGGCTTTGGTGGATCACCTCGCTTCCCCTGTAATCCTGAGCAGGGCGGGAGGCCAAGGAAAGCTCTAGATCTGCCCCCGAGCCCTGCATGCTCACCCAGGACCTGAAACTCTCTGTGAGGACTAGGGGGGGTCCCAGCAATCCAGCTGCAGCTAGACCTGGGGGTGGTTGGGGTTCTGGAAGGTCTTTACTGGGTGTGAAAGGAGTGACTGAGGAATCACCACCCTCCCCCACAAAAAGGCAGGCAAAGGCAGTTCCCGGCCCCACGCTGCGCTGCGGCCAGCTAGGAGTGTAGTTCCGATTCTGGTCCCAGGCTGGAGAGGAGGGCCCAGGACAGGGGGAGTCTGCCCAGAAGTTTTGGAAAATGGGGAAGGGAGAGAAGATTGGGCTGGGGACTTAGGCAGAGCCATCTTCAATACCTGGAGGATGCCGGGGAGAGAGCGAAGGTTCCTCCGTACCTCCTTCCTCCTGCTTGTGGTGAGTTTCAGCGTGGGGGGGTGGGTGGGGCAGGGGGAGTAGGGAGTCCCAGCGAGGGCAGAGCTGGAGCAGATGACATGAGATGGGAGGGGGAAGGAAACTCTGTCTCTGAAAGGCCCCAGCGAGGCTCCCACTGGGCATGTTGCACAGTGGGACTTCCTGGACGAGGACGGGTGGTGGACAGGGCAGGCAGTAGCCAGTGGCCTCTGAGGCCCTTTGCAGCCCCCAGCACGCCCAGTTCCATGCTGTCTCATGTCACAGAACCGAGTGGCAGAGGTCGAGTCCTCTGCATACCTGCTGCCCTGTTCCCGCAGGTGAGGATGGCTATTCTCCGCATTATCGGCCAGTTGGCTCTGTCTGGCTACCAGGACAGGATCAAAGGCTGGGGCCTGAAGTACGTGTCCGTGCAGCTGACCTTGTCCACATACAAGCTGGTGAGTGCCCCCAGCACTGGATACAGGCCACAGGGCAGCTGGACTTTGTAAAGAGTTTTCAAAGCGCTGAGGGAAGAGCGAATGCCACTCGTGTGCCTGTGCTTGGACACATGTAGGCCTGAGCTCGGGAACCACGCAGGCCTCCACCAAGAAACACGTGCCCAGCTCTAAGCACCCTGGAGACCCAGTGCCTGAGCACGGAGCCCCCGGGGACCGAGGAGACCACGCCTCGCCCCTGCCAGCCCACAAACAGGGACCCTCCACTCTGTTGTCCAGACAAACCGCCGGGATAGCTTTTATCAGAGAGACTTGGAGGAGAAGATGGTCCACAGAGTCACCATGGACACCGTGAAGATCATCACCTCCTCTGTCAGTGGGATGACCAACGTGAGTGACCCGCCCAGCCGCCCAGACGGCGCCAGGCAGAGAGAGGAGCCGGGCATACCCTGGAGTCTACACTGTGGATTCTTTCATTTCTCCTGCC